TGAAATAAAATAGTTAGATTTCTATGAAATCTACTAAAAATGTTGTTGTTTATAAACTAGGACTTTTTGAAAGATGAAATTCAGGCCATGTCTATTGAGTTTCAATAACATTTACTAAAAATTTCCTTACAACAAACGTCTCTTTAGCAGCGGGAAAAAAGTCATTGTAAGGTTTCCAAAACTTAACATTACATGTAGTAATTCAGTCAACGGACTAACAATTTTACATACATGTTATTTTTGCTGATTACATAACTTATAAATTGTTGTTATTGCGGGATCGCGGGAATGTAACAGATTAAAATGAATGAATTTTCCAAACACTAGATATGTGAAAAATAAATTTGGCTACTTATTTAAATAGAATTCGTAAAAAACATGTTAAATTTATTTTCTATAAAAAATTGATGTCACTGAGAAAATTTTAAATAACAGAAAAATTGTTGGCACTTTAAGTTAGACAGATTTAAACTTGACTTATGAGACTTGCAATGACTTTAACTAAAACTTTCAATGGTCATTTGGAATCTGGGCAAATCAAAACAACACTCCAATTAAATTTTAAGTCTAGATCTAAAAATACAATTATAAATTATAAATTTAATTTTTATTTTTTACATATTTTACTGTAATAATATTAAGCAAGAACATGCAAATATTTAATTATGTTAACCTTGTGATAATACTAGTAACAAGCCTCGATAACGAGGTTTATCTAGAGACAATTATTTAACTACATACCTACCAAGTTCGCTCGCAGTATTTGTTCACTAAACATTGTCACAATTTTTTTTTACGACGAAAATAAATAAAATAAACTTAAACAATGTTTCAGTATTTTATTTTAATATTCAATATTTTGGGCGTAATTTTGTCAGAAGAAGTATGTATATTACTTTTAGACTTCTTAAACTCTCAATTGAGAGGTTCAGGGTTCGATTCCCGGCGGGGGTCAAGCAAAAAGAAATAAGTAATATTATTTTATTTTTCAATTTTTTTTTTCAGGATCAAGTTTATAAAAGTCATCTGAAAGTTTCAACGCGGCTAGACTTGTCGGGATCATTGAAGCATCTTTGTGCTGGAGATGATCAAAATGATGACGATCAAGTGGTCTCCTGTGCTTGTCTCAGTAAATTGTCAGTTGTATCGACCGTCCAAGTGGGAAAGTACCAAAATGTCTACCATCACAACGAGAGCAATCAAAATGGCGTAAACGCTTACGCGTCGCTTTACCAAACTGAAGAAAATTTGAAAGTTTTAGGCTTCGGACGCTTCAATGTATTTTTTTTTCTTACTTTTAGAAGTTTTTGGAGGAAAAATTAATGTAATTTTTTTTTGCAGTTACATAATGTTAAATGCGTAGAAAATAATGAGGTTAAAGATGTTGAGAGTCGGTACACTCATTGGTTCCACGTTTATTCTACTTGGTCAAGTTTACCTCCATATAATAAATTTTTTGATTACGAGGACTATGCGGCCGATGTTCTATTGCCAATAACGATTGTGGATATTACTCTTGATAATGCACCTAAATTTGTAAGTATTGTTATTATTTAATAATAATAAAAATAATTAATCGGAATTATGGTATTTTACGGTGAGAAAAAATTTATTTCTTCATTAATTTTAGAAAAATTAATTTTTTATTAAAATATTGTTCATTTTTTTTTAATAGAAAATTTTTTCTCAGTGTTTAGATCATGAAATTCATTTCAAAATGAGACTTTCATTTAAAAATACCCATGAATTAAGAAAGAAAATTATTTTCTTTTTAATTTCAAAAATTTTGTTATTTATATTATTAATCACAAGTAATTTTTCATTAATATAATAATAACTAGCAACCTGGCAGTCACTACGTGACTGCGATGACTTGTGAACTATAAATAAATAAAATTTTGCTTTATTAAATAATGACTTTTGTTAAATTGCACTGTACTTTCTTAAATATTGACGTTTTTAAAGATATAAGCTCATCTCGATGTTATACTCATCAAGAGCTTTCATTTGAGTACCCACATGCATTTTTGATATATTTTTCATATATACATATATATAATATATATTTTAAAGATATAAGCTCATCCTGATGTTACACTCATCAAGAGCTTTCATTTGAGTACCCACATGCATTTTTGATATATTTTTCATATATACATACATACATATATATATATAATATATATAAATATATGAAAAATTGATGTGGGTACTCAAATGAAAGGTCTCGATGAGTGTAATGTCGAGGTCTGCTTATATCATTAAAAATTTTGAATTACATCAGTAAAAATGTTAAAATTTACTATTTTGATTTTTTATAATTAAAAAAAATCAAAATTCTTCTGAATAAATTTTCTTTGAAAATTTTAATACATTTTTTTGTGATTATTCTTCGAAGAAATGATTTAAATATTAAATTTTAATTATTATTTTTTAATATTAATACT